CCGCCGCCGCCGCCGCCGCTCGGGGTTAGGGGAGAAGGGCGGCCTTCAGTGGAGGGCAAGGCGGGCGTTGCCCCCTTTCTTTTCCCTTCCTTCCTGACCCCGCGCGAGTCTCCGGCTTGCACCGAGGGTAGCGCGCGAGTCTCCGGCTTGCACCGAGGGTAGCGCGCGAGGCCCAAAGCACCGACTCGCCCCGTGGAGTCCTCCTGGGACACAGCCTGGACCTGCTGAGGGCTCCGAATTCACATTTTCATCCTATGACTCAGTTGAGCCAGAATTACTCTCTTTACACCCCGGCACTTTTATTGTTTGGCGTATTGATTTTTTTTTTAAAGCAAGAACTGATAGAAAACAGCGTGAATGGCTTCTGTTCTGTTCCAGTTCAAACCATTAACTCAGTACCTTAACTGCTGCATCCTTGTTAGCTGTGATGTAGTCGATCTTCCTGAGCATGGTCGTCTCATATATTTAGATCTTTGGCCTGCGTCTTGCCTACAGCCCTTGAATCTGGGTCACAGAAGTCTGCGGTGGATATATTAAAAGAACTTTACAGTTATAACTAAAGCAAAACAGAAACAACTGGATCTGTGCAGGAGTTAGCAGCTGATGTTCCCCCCCCTCCCATGGGACAATTTGTGAAATGCTGGGGTAGGTGTCAGTTTAGTTGAAGTGGGAACCTGGTGTTAACTTCACCTGCTTCTCATGAGTAGAAAATAAACTGGACTGCATTGGAAAATTGTGTAAACCTCTCTGTCAACATTAGCCCCTCCGCCTAACTTGTATTATGGCCAGAATTACTTTGTAGGGTAATGCTAAACCACTGTTAAGCTACAGACACATGCATACAAACCGGAGTTAATAAATGGCTGATGTATTGTAAGCCATTCTTAGCCCCAGTTTGCAATATGGAGATAGTAGAGAAAGGATGAAGATGTATTTTATAAATAAGTTTTTAAAAATAAATAAAATCACATTCTTACATCAATCAAAGAGTGAATGTAAAGAATAATGATTTTTGTTTTTTCTCTTTTTTGACTGGGAGACTTTGCTTCTCAGTTAAATCTACAATAAAGGCTCAGATTTCTTTATTGTTTCTTATAGATAGCTGTCATTTTTCAACTGATAGCAAGAAACTGTGCCTAAGGTTCGTGTCCAATGTTTCTGCATGGACAGATATGTAATCATATGCTAATCACACGTGATCAGGCTTATAGCTAACGCACCTTGTCAGTTCAGTGCAGCAACTTCAACAGTTAGAACTTTGTGTAATACTCAACAGGAGCCTAAACAATACATTAAAAATAACAAAATAATAATAATCTACTTCCAGGCAGTGGGTATTGGAATTGGATTCTTAACAAATATGTGCTCTTCTAGGATCCTGCTGGATCTTCTCCGCATGAATGTGGCACCTTTAGCCATCTTTCAGATGCTCCGCTCCATGTGTGCTGGACAGAGACTCAGTTCTGAAGCCACTTCTGAATCAGCACGAGGTCAGTGGTACCCCATGTGTCAAAAAAGGATGCATCAAATCCTGCTATTATTCAGGGAGTAATTGGAGCCAGGGGAACTAAAGTACCTCTGAGTATCTAGTGTGTTCTAATGTTTGTGCTGACAATTTCCGTATCTGCAGGGAAGGGGATGTTTAGTAGCAAAGTGTAGTTGGATCATCACTGTTTCAGACGTTAAAATCAGACTTCCAATTCTGGGATTGAAAAGTAAATCTGTGTAAACCTGGGCATTGTGTTTGGATTTTTTTAAAAAAAATGTTTATTTAAACTGGTGTTAGAATTTATAAAATATTTATTCTGATTTATTCTTTAACTTCAGATTATATTTGGAGTAGAGCATAATCTATATTCTCTTCATGCAGATAACCCATCAGAAAATTATGTTTCAACATATGCCTCATTATATGTGTCTATTTACTTCATTTTAGTTGGCAATTCCTAGGCTGCGCATAATACCTTATTGTGCCAGACACCACCAATGTTTGCCCTCTGTGGGCCTCAGCCTATCACAGCCCTTGGAATACTGTGGGAGGAGGTTAAAGAATGTGAAGTGTATAGAGAAAAATGAATTGTTTAGAGTTCGGGGGAGTGAGATAAAGGAGTAGTGTGATGCAAAGGAAAAGGGAACCGTTGGGAGACTTCAGGTAGAGGTTAAAAGAGACATAATTGTAACATAAACTGAATGTCTGTCAGACAACCAATTTAGCATTGTTTAGTTTTGGTCGAGCCTAGAAGATCAAGTTTGACTATTTCTGTATTTTAATCACTACTTGAGTCTGATCACGTTAACTACTGGATTCCATCCATGTGCTGAGTGAGCATAGAAGACACATAACCTCCTTCTTTGCTGGCATTCTCTTATTTAATTTAGCAGCCCCTGAGTATGACCTGGAGAAGAGAGCTTCACGCAAACAAAAAGTAGATCCAAAGGGATGTGTGGTCATAGATTTTTGTATTAGTAACAACATGCAAAGCTGTCTTTTACTAAATTAGATCACTGGCCAATCTAGTTCTGAGCCATCTAAGCTGTTGGCTGCCAGACACCACCAATGTTTGCCCTCTGTGGGCCTCAGCCTATCACAGCCCTTGGAATACTATGGGAGGAGGTTAAAGAATGTGAAGCTGCCTTTTACTAAATTAGGTCACTGGGCAATCTAGTTCCGAGCCATCTAGGCTGTTGGCAGTGGTTTACTATGGTTTCAAAAGGGACCTCTCTCAGCCCTACCTGGTGACACTAGGAGTTGAGTCTTGGACCTTCAGTATTTTTCATTCTTAGAAACCTTTATTGGCATTATATGGTACAAGGGAGCACATAGCACAGTTACATTCCAGTTCCAGGTAAAGGGAGGGGCAGGCAAGGGGTTGTAGTAGGTTAGGTTCAGGAAATGAATGAATGAATGAATGACCTTCAGTATGAACAGCAGGAACTAGGAGTTGAGTCTTGGACCTTCAGTATGCACAGCAGGTGTGCTGCCATGGAACTATTACAGGGATAATGCAATTGTAGGGATAATACAGTTGAACAATTTTGTCTTATTTTCAGGCTAACCCAAACCAATCTGTCTGCAAAGTAAGCTTGTCAGATTTTAGTCAGATTTGCTTCTATACATAACGTTTAATGTTGTAATTCTAGTCTAAAAATGCCTGCCAGATCATCCATATGTGTCTGTTTTGAGACAGCATTTGGAAAAACAAGGGATTATTTGTATGAAGGAAAAAGACCAAAAATTACTCTCCATGTGTACTGTTGTTCTGGAACCTATTGTCCTGTTACAGAAGAAACATGTCTTGTGCCACATCTGCAGGTAGAAAAGAGCACATTTGGTAGGCAGCTTTTGTCACAGCATCATATACTCTTAGCTAAGACCCTTCAGAGCAATTATGTCAATGCTCATGTTTGGCACTGCATGTAATCTGATCAAAACACAGTTTCTGGTTTATAGTCTCATTCAATAGAAGCATAGGAAGAAGAAAGGTTGATAAAATGGGAGGTGGATCGCTACACAGATGAGAATCAAGTAGCAGAAGACCAGACTGCCGTTTGTTGTAGAAATTCTGGACTCTAGGAGGGGCTAATCTGCCATTAGGAATACAAGGCTGGAGAGAAGAATTCAGGAACAACAAGAAGAAAGCAGAGAGAGCCAACAGGAGACAAGCTTTTAAGAACAGACAAATCTGTAGTACAACAGGCCATGTGCTCTTTCTTTTCAGTTGCTCTCTTCAGCTGTAAACATTCATGGCTTGACTCTGTTGTATGCTAATTCTTTTGGCATTCATTGGCATCAGCGGAACCATGCAGTCATTTGCCTGTAGAATTTATCCTTCATTTGGACTTGCTTTCTTTCCCCTTTAATCTATTATAATGAATGCACTAAACTGGGTGTGCAGAAAGTTGTCTGTCATTCTTCTAATCCCACTGCTATAGCCTCTACCTCCATTTTTTTTAAGCGGAAAAAAACATAATGGAGATCAATCACTTTTTCAATGTCTTTTTCTCATTTTCTCTTTCTGATATAGGTACATAGCAAAAATTAAAATCATTTCAATAGTTTGCTAAGAAAATAATAAATTGGTACTGTAGTATTATTCTACATTCATATGTATTTATATCATTTTGATTTATGGCTGGAATATTTACAGCTGCTAACATCTTGAGGCTGTTTAACAGTATTGGATAAATATTGATAAGGTTCTCTGAAAGATTACTTCTTGAAAAACAATACCCTAATTTTTTATGATTAAGTCAGTTTATAATTAGTAAATCAGTTGTATAATTAGCAAGTCAGCATTATTTTTCATCCTTCCTCCAGATTCCAACAATAGGCATAGTATCTGTTCCTTTATCAATAACTGGCATTCTCTGTACTAGAGATGGGCACAAACTGTGAATTCAACTATGGGTGGTTTCTTGAAGGTCCTTTAAGATAAGGCAAAAAAGGGTCCTTTAAGATAAGGCAAAGAATATATATATTTAAGTGATACAATGCACCAGCAATAGTATATATAGAGTTTTTTTAATAAAACACTTCCCTTGCCCTGTGCCAAGCAAGGGAAGTGATTAATTTGCCAATATCCTGAAGTCAATTGTTTATTAAGCCACTGCAAAATGTTTGGAAATTCAAACTGGAGGACTTGCTTTCAATCAGTTGCAGCAATGATCCAAATCAAAGTGATCCTACCCACATCAAAAAATAGAAGCCCCTTGATAGGGACCAGAAAAGTGTGGGCAAGAACACAGAATAGCTGGCCCTCAAGAAGGAGATGTTAACAGCTTGAATGTAAGAAAAGTCTTGTGAATAAGGAGATAGGAAATAGTGAATCTTTATTTCTTTAGGTGAGGACAGTGTGTGATAGCCAGTGAAAAAGACAGATACTGCCTACCCTTACATCAGGACTGCCCCCATTGAGAAGAGGCCCAAGACAGATGTTCCTCCAGAAGATTCTTCCAACAGAATCCATGAATCAATCACAACATGAGTAGACCAGAACTTTCCAGGCCTCTGACAAAGAGTTGGATTCTCACAGAAAAGCAGTTGTAACAGCTCTCATAATTAGGAGACTGGTCAACGTGACCTTGGCTAATCAAAGATAAACAGATGCACTTCTCATTAGTATGCTTCTGCCAGGCTGTCAGATGCTGGTTAGTTGAAAGGCCTCAGAATCAAGTTGGTTTTGAATTTCTCCACAGCAACAATGTTGTCATTCAGTATCAGAAATGTTAGTGTTGTGTTCTGCCTGCTACAACTCTTCTGTGGAATTATTTCCATCACATGTTATTTGCAAAATACTTGCTAACTGGAATGTAAATTCTTTTTAATTTATTCCAAGAAATCAATCTTCTATAAAGCTGGAAAAGCTGTTCATATTTCTCTGTCTGATGATAGTTTGATTGTAGCTTCTAATCTTTAAGTATTCATAACATGGTTAATGTATACTGAAGTGTATCTGTATTAACTGGGCGCAGAATGTTATGAAAGGGCCAGGATGCAATTGTAGTGGGAGACATAAGTGAAAATCCAGGAGTAAGTCATGACCTGAGCATGCCCTCAGTAGAGATTTTCAGTCCTGGGATGGTCTTTGATTAGGCAGAAGAGTGCTCCTGCAGTTCAGAGCTGATTCCATTTTCATTTAGAAAATTTCTAACTGTGATGCTAAACCTAATTTTGCACATACATGCAAAAATTTGAACCATCTTTATAAGGAAAACACTTAGAGGGAAGGTTGGAATAAAGAACTATGAAAGATGTACTTAACCTTTTCTCCCCACCAATCTTTTCTCTAATGAGCAGCGTTGTCATGAATTTATTCTTTCTTCACAATTGCTAACATGCTTGATTAACATCTTCACTGAGCTAAAAAATTTCAGGAGCTTTTTTTTGTTGTTATTGATTTCCAATATAGACCCATTGATGTAACTTTACATGTGCACTGATGGGATCTGAACCGCATTTGACATTTCACTGCCTCTTAATTCAGCTTGGAGAGTTCCTTTCTTGGAGCTTTTTGCAATCCACTTGCGTTTTCATTATGCGTAATTGTTTTATGTCCTCTACTTGGCTGTTTTTCAGCTCATTATGACACCAAATAATTCGCAGCGTGCGGTAACTATATATACTCCATGCCCTTCAAATACAGGCTCATAATGTACAGATCTGCACCAGACATTTGTAGACTATAGTGTACACTCATTGCAGTGGAAAAACAACAAAAATAGAGGAATAAGGTGAGATGATTAACCAGGTATAGTCTATTAATCTCATATAGGACAAGGCTAGAAGAGGGAATGACAGAACAGCACTTGTTGTCTCCTATAGTTTCCAACTAAAACCATTCCAGAATAACTTTTAACTTTATTGTTATTACAACTATAGGTCAGCCGTATCAGGTATAGAAAACTAAAACACAATGACAGGTCTTACATTATATACAAGCTATATGACACAGACTAAAATTCCATTTATTTCAGAATATAATTCATGATC